TCATATATTAATATAGTATTTAGTAATTGTAAAAAAAATTATACTTCTTATTTAGCATTTCACAAGAATAAAGGCTTGTGATAATGCAATTAAAAAGCCACAAGAATTTCTTATATACACGTTATGCTTTTATATCGCGATATATATTATACTTTAATCAGATTACTTGTCTGTGCGCAATTGAATAACGATTTTTCCATGAGACGGCACATATTATAAATTACCACGTTTATTTTGCGATCTGCCAAACGGCTTCCTCAAGCGGGCGGATGAGATTGCATTTTAATTAGTTGCAAACGCGAACAGTGGCGTATTCATTCGCGTTGCAAGCTTCGTGTAATCGCTGCGACAAACCAGATTTCTTCATGGTTAATTAGCAGATCATACCGGCCGGTTTTCACCGTTGACATTATCACTATCGCGCTACTCGCGTCTCTCTTTTCACGAGAGCCTAAGTAGGTATACCATGTGCATCTATTACATTATTGGGACTTATCGGATGTCAAATCGTCTTATCGATGACCGAACGAGTCGCCGCGATCGAGACTCTTTCTTTTATAAGAAAATGTTACCTACGCTACGTCAAATAGACGATTTGGTGTGCATACGTTTCTCATGTATCTGCCAATTACATTCGTGAAATTAATTGATAAGACGATTATATTGCCGTCTTATTGTCAATGTAAAATGGATATCAAGTTCTTATTTCTTTGCTTATTTTCAGTCTCGTTCTCGCATAGCGCGCTGGTGCAAAAAGATGATGTTAATGATAATCAGTTGCTACAACATTTCTTTGAAATTCGATTTTACGTATTCATTTTACCTACGTCTTTTATATATATAGTACGTGACTGCGATATTTCTATGATTATTTTATATGCAATTCTGAGAGAAGAGACTTCAGTCTCGGAACAATTAATTAAAATTAGAGAATAATTACAATAGAACAGCAGTATTAAGAATTTGTTTATCGAGGTTCATATTTTAGCAAATAAATTTTTTTCTTGATAAAATTCTTTTGGAATTTCTTTTGGATTATTTTTAGATTAAATCGAGTCTATATTATGCGCGAAATAAATTATTAATTATATAAAATTTTGTATTCTCCAAATACTATATTTATATTACCCACTCAAATCTTTCCGTCCAGATATTTTCTTATAAATATTTTCACACACATTTTAGACGAAAAATAAAAAATATTTTCAGAATTATACTCTCGCACTGCAACGATAGACATATATTCGTAATAATTCGCATTTTAGCATGTTCGTTATTGCGCACGAGCCACGATTTAACTGCAAGGAAAGGGCAAAGTTCGACCTGTCGACTTACGTCAGATTGCCGCGCGGCCCAATGATCATCGATGACGACGCGAGGTCATTCATCATCCTCGTGACACGATACACAGAATCACGGCCTGTTACATACAAGCGAATATATTGCGCGAACGAAGGAAACCGTTACCGCTGCTTGGCACATTCAACGGACTTACTCGCAAACTTCTCGATGCATAGTTTACGGTTAACTGCAGTTTACATATGATTTTGTATAATATCTCGCGCTACGAAATTAACGTTTATTTAAATTTCCGATCCGGTCTTAAAATTTCGACTCGGATAAATCTCGGGAATTAATTGCAGCGTTGGCTAATGAGTGACCGAACTTTCACTCACGCATGTGAATCTCTAGATTAAAAATATAAATTAAACACTCACTGATACGATGACGGAATTGTATTTATTCTGTAAAATACAAAAATATACCCGAATTTTATATAAAGCAATTATATTATAAAAAAATATTAATATACATATACTGCCCAAAATTTAAAATTGTATGTGTAAAAAAAATTAAATTTTTATTTATCTTTCTCTTTTATATTTTACATAAGCTGGCACCCTTATTTTTCGAAATTATGTAACTGTTTTGATTAAATTATTATTTAAATAAATGAACAAAATATTAAATTTTGCTCGCACAATAATTTTCTAAAATAATTATTATATTGGATATTGCTTTATACAATTTGGATATATTTATATTTTACAGATCAACATTGTGTATCACCACTTCGTTGTTGCGCATCACATCGGTAAATTGAGTTGAATTATTTTCTATCTTAATCTAGAGGTTGATAAATATAAAAAAATAACGTATTTTTGTGAAGAAATTGATAATAATCAATAGATGCATTGAATAAATGCATCAATATAACAATGTAATATAATTAATAATAACGAAGATAGTAGAAAATATACTTACTGATTGATAAATTTAAATACAACGTAATACGATATTTCTAAGACAAAAAAACATTATTTGGTGCTAACATTTTTAAAAATTCTCAATATAAAAAGTTTAGAAAAAATCTAGAAAATTCAATGATAAGAAAATGAAAAAATTAATTTAAACTTTAAAATACTTGAAGAATATTCTTAATGGTACTGCTTTCACAAAATTATCTCACCTTTACCTCGCCCTTCGGCAAGACATATATTACTGTGATAGGACGAGTGCCATAAATCACTCGTCGTTCTGCGACTTGCAACGATATAAGAGAAACAATGACTGGTTCTGGCGAAGCCACATTATATATACATATATATATATATATATATATATATATATATATACAGATGCGTGCCAAATGTTGCATAGCTATATCTGCATATAATGTATGCAGTTGTGCTACTTTTAAGCGACATTTAAATTTACCTTTACCTTTAGGAAAATGTCTCTTATATATGTATAATAAAAATAACGTTTACAAAGATAGGAAACATTAAATACTCTTCATTATACACACGAGAATACATTATTCCTTCTTTCGAAGAAATAAAAATCAAGATATACATATATATCAGAAAAAATTATATACTTGCATTAAAAATCGAATTATTAAATTTAACTTTCAAATTTTTGAAAGTTTATATATAAGATACGACGGATAATCTTGGGACAAGCAAACATTTCTGCGTTATTAACATATTATTTACCGTCATGCAACAAGAAATTATCACGTGGAATCATATTGTAGGCGTTAGTGGGTCACGAAAAGGAAAATATTTTTCTTTACCGGAAAGCATTCCAAACACACATATACACTCGGATCTGTGATTTATGTATTACATAGCGGATAGCTGTAATAAGCCGCAACGTTATTTCGCGCGTAGGTGCTCGGGAGATCAAGATCAGCGTTTCATAACGACGTACCGCAATTTCTCATGTACGCTTGCCGCTATTTCTTGAGCTCGCGACGATATAAGTAAATAATGTATCAAAACCTCACGGGTATAAACTTCACGTACACGCGTATATGTACCTGTGCCACAAACGGGTACCGCGAACCGTTGCGAACACCCACGTGTAACAGGGCATCTCGTAATCTACTGACCGGTGTCGGCGTAGGCAGGGGATACTAGTAGCCTGCTGGCTCGCGGTTACAGGTGCAGAATTAGTGCAGGTGAAATTTCATATAGTTGACACATTCCGGGGGTGTAGGATCTGATAACGCGTAACGTCCCGATAAACCGCGCTCCAAAACGTTTTTCTCGCTTAAAGGTACCATTTTATACTCGTATATGCAGCATACTGTCGCAGCAGTTTGTTAAAAAGACAGCAAAGCAAAAGAACACGCAACTATAGTTGATTCTAATTATTGTTATTATTATATTAGTTAAATAATGGATTTTTTAAAGAATAAAATAGATTAGTATGGAAATATAAAAGCAAAAATTATACTTTTAATTTTGAAATAATAAGAAAACAAAGAAATATGCTCTAATAAATTTGGATCATGATTCGCTGCTGCGTATGAAAAGGAACCTTAAACCGCGAAAAATGCCTCGAATTACATATGTGCAGAAGGCGCGTTGGCGAGCCTCGAAAAACTCGTTTGCAGAAACGCGTTTCGCGAAATCAATTTGTCCGAGCGGGAGAGCAGGCAGAGATAATTGCGAGCCGCGGTTATATACATATGTTGTATTATCAAAATAATTGCGAAACTTCATTACGAAGGTAATTAAAAGCCCCGTTGGAGAATAAAGGCAGGGCTTGTGCAGTTTCTGGATTTCAAATTTAGATAACAATATATGCCCAATAGCGAAACCCTATTGGCGGACACTTATCAACGTCGAGCGCGCGTTAGATGCGCGCGGATTTTTTCCTCCCCTTTTCTTTTACAAGCTCCGAGGGTATATTTCAAAGGTTGTTACAGCAGTCATCGCGCGATTCCATCGTGCGTTCCGCGCCTCCGATCATTACATCCGTTATAAGCTGTCACATAGCTCATCTAACATACGCGTTGCGTTCTCCGATAAGCGAGAAGAATTTTTTTATTTTACAATCAATCGTCTATATGTATTATGGTAGAATTAACTCAAACTGCGCGCTTTCGATCGGCATCTAGATGAATAGACAGTGCGTTTATTCTTATATGTATGTATATATAGAATATTTTTTCTTGATATATCTTTGACTAATTTCAAGTCGATCTTTGCATTCATCATACTTGATATCTTTAGTAAAAAAAATATAAGTGTTTTACAAATCGATTGATAATAATGAATCGAGGGAGACTCATCCGCGTTCGTTGCGCGTTTGCGAGGATAAAGATTCGAATCGAAAGGTTAAGCGAAGATGTTCCTCTTACACCGTTGCATCTCTCAACGGCGAGATAAGACTTTCACTGGAGAATCAAACGGATGCGCAGGAACGAGAAACACGCGGTAGCTTTTACTCACGAGTGAAGAGCTACTCGATCGCACTCATCCGAACAATTCGACCGGTTCGTAAAATTTGGTCGGATGTAATTTAAGAACAGTTTTCCCTCCGAAAGAGAGAGAGAGAGAGAGTCCGGGTATTCCGGCGCGTTTAAAAGACGCGCGGAACGAATTAACGTAATTAAGCTTAATGACAGCGCGATTAATTAGGGAACGTATTTTCCCTCGAGAGAGGCAGAATTCCACTTTTCTCTTTTTATTTATTAATGAACTCACCGGTAGGAGAAGTAAGGACGAGGGCGAGTGTCTCGCGGCCGCCTGTCTAAGACTGAGAAAGTGCAGCAGAGGGTCCTCGGTCGCTCTCAGCTCGTCCAGGGTTCTCCTAGCCTCGCCGTATCTCTCCAAGTATTCCCAGTAAGAGTTCCAAAACGAACCGGGAAATAAGTCACCTGTTGACAGCGTACACCGTCGTAATTAAAATTTGTCCGTGTCCGCGTAAAAAGCGCGGAGAATTCCGTTATTAAATTACACGAGATTATCTCTCCCCGGTCATAAAATAATTGCGCTTGTCGTATTATATACCGCGGAAGGTTTTATGCTCTCCTCAAGTAATTAATGGCACCGTTCTACACACGCGCGCGAACACATTCCGTATATGTAGTAAACGCGAGTATATTAGAAAATAAAATGGAATGTTGAATCGTCACGTGTAAGTGCGATAAAATGTGACGTTAAAAGAAATTATTAACACACGCGCTTATCTATATATATTTCGCTTCGCTCTTCATCGACGAAGGATATCTTTCCTGTGTTTTTTCTCGCATCGGCAAATGATTTATCATTTAGATTTCATATTTTTATATCCCGCGCCTTCTGTCTCCCACGTCGTGAAATACGAGCTGCACACCGTGTAATTCGCGGATTCAACGCGAATTGCATCGCGAATTTACGGTAGTTTAAATCCCCTCTTCTGTTCGGCGCTAGGAAGTGACATCTCAGAGAGGCCGCGTGTTAAAAAGCGAGTGATAGTGAATCACGAATAAAAAAAAGCTGCGCACCGTATCGTGTTTTCGAGATAACGCCGCGAACGTTGATATAACGCGAATAAATTCCCCGCGGTGCATATGCAGGCACATATATACGCATACGAGTCGTGGTACCGATTTACGATCGACATCGTCGCGCAGTCCCGTACGATAAAAGACCGGCGATCTTATTAATGTAAATTCGAAATAGCCGGTGATAGTCATTTCACGGTAATAGCGGCATCGCGAGACGAAAAGTGCAGCGTCGCGAACGAGTCCGATTCGCGCAAATGCATAAAGCATATGGCAAATCTCGATCGGAAGAAACTGCTTAATTAGCGTGTCTTTTTATAAGCACGGCGTAATCGACCCCGTTGATCGCTCCCATCGCTTATCACGCACGTTTTATCGGAAAATGTGAAAAAAAATCAAAAAGAGAAAACGCGCGCGAAAGGACGAGATGCGTGAGATTATCAAAGGAGAGAGAAGGCACGGCTGCCTTGATAAGAGTTCCACTTTACCAGTTTCCTAAGATATGCAGAGAACCAAAGACCACTTGCTTCGACCACTCTCTCGTGGGGCATAATAAACTCGTTAAGATCGCTTGGCATCGTAATCGATAATCGCGCACACACATAGCTAAGAAATTTCCATATATATATATATATATATATATATATATATGCATATGTAGGATATAGTGTACTCACTCGGCTTGAAGGCACCGCCGTCCCAATTCTCAAGTGTGCCACGGATCTGAAAGGAAACAAAAAGAATGCAATTAAGGATTAGAATTAGCTTTTAAAATACAATGATCAACAATATGGAGAGAGAAAAAGATTAAGCGTGAGAAGGTATTATATAATTTATGATAAAAATGATTTGAATTCAAGACGTATAATAATCACTGCTTTTCAATTTTATTATTATTCTTTTCGCTTATTATTTTTCGAATTTATTATTATTATTTTTAATCTGTCATTTGCATCACTTGTCAGTTTATCTCGCGTTACTGTAAGGTTATTGTACTTTTGCGGTTGTATCGTAATTCAATAACTATTATGTCACTATGATTACTTTTTTACAAGAATATTCAGGATATTAAGTTTATTATAATTTCCATAATTAATAATACGTAAGATCAATTAAATATTAATGAGGTCTGCTACAAATATGTATAATTAATTTTAATCTCAATTAACATATCTTATACACGTAATATTTTTATCGAGAAGATAAAGACGATAACAAATATTTTCATGCTACACTTAATAAAATTTTTATCATGCATCTTTTTTATATCGCATGAAGAATATTTTTTGATTAACTCTCCATCTCACGTTTCATTAACGAGCCCGATAAGCTTCGTAATGGTTAGAAACGAAAATAGTTATCCCGCTGATATCGCAGAATGCTCTTCAAGCATTCTGACCGATCATCAAGTACATTTGTAGCTCGATGACAAGGTCAAAGAACTTTAAACGAGGCCAGAGCATGTCCTCGAGAGAAGCGCATATTTATCCACTGACTTATGACGCAGCATTATATCCAATCGTCCAACGAACGAGATTCGATATGAATGAGCTCGGTATAATCCTCAAGTTCTCTCCTCTATCCACAAAAGCTTCCTCGATCACGTTTACAGTATATAAGCAGCAAAAGCCGGTAATGTAAATTTCACGCGGTCCGCATATAAGTCGTTCCTTAACAACAATCATCTTACGAGATACAGTTGTAGAGACAAAGGGGGACTTTGGGATGATCCTTCGACGCCGCGGATGCGTGACTTCGACGATAATGAAATGGAAATAAACCGGTCCGCGCGCCGAAAGAATGGCGCGATACATCTGGCACGTAGTAATTAATTTCGCCGTAATAAACGTGCCGCGCTTCATGAAATTGTATTACACGGTTTTGGAGCAAGAAGCGTCGCGCGCGCGCGCGGAGAATGAGTTCGTAGTTTTGTCCAAGGCGTGCATGCATATATATATATATGCAATATTTTATTTCCACAAGGCTTAGTTTATGAAAATCCCTTTATTTTCAATCCCTTATAACTCGAAAATTATTGATGCCTCAATATTTTTGGCGAGGAAAAATTCGAGTTATAAAGGATTTAAAATAAAGGGTTTTTCATAAACTAAGCCTTGTGGAAATAAAATATTAACAAAACCACACATTCTCCAATTAATTTCAAGTAGAGTTTACTTTAATAAAATTTTTATTTAAGGTTTAGTTATAAAGATACATGATGGCAAAAATTGGGAACATGCAAAAAATGATGGTCTCCCTCGACATTTTTTGCTGAAGAAAAATCGTCTCCAAATAACGAGATCTACTTGTATATTTTCGATATGACACTATGTCAGACATCCTGTATATATATATATATACATATATGTATGTACACATATATATATATGCATGTGGGCATACGCAAAAGAGAGTGACGGACGGGATGCAGCGCTCTCAAGGTCCTTTGACGGCAAGGTCTTCCAGGCCACGCAGGCGAATGGAAATTATCGACGAGAGTCAATCAGCTTGCCTCCGAGCTACGAATACATATCTATCGGAGATACCGTGTAATCACAATAAAACTGCCGCCGCCGCTGCTGCTGCTGGGCCGCGTACAAGAGAGAGAGAGAGAGAGCTCAATTCCTAACAACCAATTTGTTCCGGTTTAATTGCTACGTCTTATGTGTGCTATCGCAGAAAAGCAGAGCTCTCCTGACTTTAACGTAGCGGCCAGGCAACAATTATCGCGATAAATTGTACGCCGATCTCCCGAGTGCACTTCAAAATTTCAAAGGAACGGAGAGCTGCGCCGCATTATTCTCTCAGTCGCACAATGCAGAATGAGAATAAAAGTAGAGAAAATATGAGAGAGACGAGAGAGTGTCTCTCATCGCTCAAAATACTCGAGATTTGTGGACGACTTTTCATTCTGTATCGAATAATAAACTAGAATATTTTTATATCAATTAATAAAATGTGGGCATTGCGATAATAAACTTTATTTTACTTAAATTTGTAATTGCGTATTACTTCACGAAGAGAATTTTTTCTTAGAATTTACCCTGAAAATTATGGTAATTGGGGGACAATATGATATTGGAAGAGTTTTATAGGAGTTTCTCTGATTATAATACTATGTACATAGTAAAATTAATCGAACATATTTTATATCTTATTATATAGATATTAAATATTTTTTATTGTAGTAAATATTAATCAGAGAAACTTTAATAAAATTCTTCCAATACCATATTGCCTCATGATTATCATGATTTTCAGGATAAATTCTAAGAGAAAATTCTCTCTGTGTTTAAATATAAAAGTAAGTAACGATACAAAGTTACTTCGTGTATGCGCGTAATAAATTTAACCATTAGATTAATTAAAGGATAAATTCAACATCGGATTAGAAAACATCGAAATTGACTTAGCCACTAGGTCGACGACCTATTCTTATCCGAACCTGGGATTAGAAGAACGACGACATGTTGAACCCTTCTATCCTACATATAACAAGCGATAAGGCACGTCGGATCAAGCAATTTCTAAAGAGAAATTTTTCTTTAAAAAAATTATATTTTTTTCGGATGTATAATTTTAAAATTAAAATTCTTTAGCTATTTTTATTCAATTTTATGATTACCATATAAGTATATCGATTATAAACTTCATATGTTAGATAATTTTTATACATGTAGTATACGCAATCATACGTTTTCTCTTTTCCTAATCTGAATAATGGCTTTATAGTAGCTACTTCATTATATATATTCATTTAAAAAATCTTATAATTGCCTGCAAATATAAGAGAAAATTGTAATTATATATTTACATTGTCTGACTGATGCATCAATAGCGGATTTAATATGAGCGCACATAATTAAAATGTTTATCATGGGGAAGCTTTCATAGTGAGCGAATGATGTCGCGTTCTATGCAACGAATTCTTATCGTGCCGTCTCGACCGTGAATATCACATGTTACGTATCGATCAGTCATTCGACTTGGCCGAGAAAGAGAGATAGAGAGAGAGAGAGAAAAAAAGAGAGATGATACCCGGCGTGAAATGAAAAAACCGATGCATGTGTAGGAGCAACGTTACGTGCGTTGCATCGTCGCATCGTTCTTGGTCGTCACGATGCGATGCGTCGGCGTGTCGATGCGTTTCTTATTGTTAGATACGTATCTATGTTAAACGCACTAAGCACCTCCATGCATTTATGCATCACATTATACGCGCCGGCGACGAGGATGGGTATAGAGGGTTCTATTCGTTTTCGAGGCTATCAAGAGCAGAGAAGATCTATGTCTCCAATGAATTTTATATGTGTGCGTGTACAGAAATCATCTTTTACTCTCATTGCAGTCAAACAAATACATACAACAGAAAAATAATTAAGAAAATAATTGGGATTAGACAAGATCGTATTTCGCGCAATTTATTGCAAATTAAATTAAATATACCAAGTATATAAACACACTACGGGAGTATCTAATTATAAAGTCGTGTAAAATAATTAGATCAAGTCAATCGACTATGAAATATTATATACACACATACATATATATATATAATAGATGTATTAATTAATAAATAATATGTAATTAATTTAATATTTTATATATACACGGGAGAATTTTCTCTTAGAATTTACCTTGAAAATCATGGTAATCGTAGGACAATATGATATTAGAAGAATTTTATAAAAGTTTCTCTGTGATTAATATTTAAAATATTAAAAATATTAATTTTATTACGTACATAGTAAAATTAATCGAACGTATGTTATATCTTATTATGGTAGATATTAATATTTGTTCTTGTGGTAAAAATTAATTAGAAAAATTTTTATAAAATTCTTCCCATACTCTATATGTACCTATACATATATAAATAAAATAAACTTCTGATGAAAAACTTAGTCAGTACACATGTGCAATTTTCGCAAATTTGGCCGCGAGATATGTATGGAATGTAAAATAATCCGCAACTTGTAACGATGAAATGTCAAACAGATTTAAAGATCGATTTTTCTCTCCCGCGCGGCGTCTCGAAAAATAAAAACGACGCAGTTTAAAATTTGATATGTTGTGTGATGTGAATTGATTGAAAAAAATTCAAGTACCTCACGAAATTGACACACCCCGTATGGTGAGCAAGCAAAGACGATACAGTCTCGCGGGCTCTCACCTATCCTCTGACGGACGTTCGATTATCGATAATCTCGGTCTCCGCATGGATATTACAACGGACTGAACGGACATCGCGGCCAATTTTTCGCTAGTGCTGCCTCACTCTGGTCGCGCGAATACGCAGATGCATTCCTCGGAGGCGGTTTTAATTATACATCGCACGCGCATAGTCGTCCCTTCGGTCCTGCCGCCCATCTAGGACGACGACGACGACGAACGAAGGGCGTGTCCAAAAAAAGCAGGTCGAATATTCCGCGCGTTATTAGGTGTCTACTCTAGGCGCGTAGGCGTTTATCCCATTATTATTTTATAGTCGGCGGGATGGTCGCTTGATTCGTTTTTTTTCTTTTCTTGTGTCTTCCCTCTCTTCTTTTTTTCAACGAGATTGATGTATGATAAACGAGATCGAGTGATGTATGTACATCGATCTATGTCGACTAAATATCCTCTCGCGTTTTATTTATGTTAATTGCGTTTTTCGCTCCGATGCCACCGGAGTAAATTAATTAAATACCATATAAGTCGTCACGAAACGATAAACAACTCCC